TCGAGGCATCCTCACAATCTGCTCTGGTAGCCAAGGATGTTGGGACAGAAAACAAGCAAACCGCTTGAGGCATCCCCACAAAACTGCCGCGAACGGGGCATGCGTGAGTCTCACCATGGGTAGGTCTGAGTAGGAGTAGGTCTGAGTATGAGTAGGTCTGAGTATGAGTAAGTTTGTGTGTGAGTAAGTCTGTGTCTGAGTAAGTCTGAGTGTGAGTCAGTCTGTGTATGAGCAAGTCTGGGTATGAGGAGGAGATGGGAGGAGAAGAGGGAGAAGGAGTAGGGGGCGTCCAAGTAATGACAAGAACCCCATCCCAGAACATGGGGAACAACAACAGCAGCAGCAACAACAAGCACAACAATAACAACAACAAGCACAAACACAACAACAACACCACCAACAACAACACCAGCAGCAACAACAACAGCAACAACAACAACAACAGCAGCAGCAACAACAACAACACCACCAACAACAACAGCAACAGCAGCAACAACAACAACATCATCACCAACAACAGCAACAACAACAACACCAACACCAACACCAACACCACCACTACCAACAACAACAGCGACACATACAACAACAATCAGTTTAAGACTGTTCGCTCTTATCTGCTCGAGTGTCCGTTAACGCGTATTTCCCAAACCCTCGATACCCGCCCTCTTCGTCTTCGATCGTACCACTTTTGGGGGGTACACCTTTCTTCCCTGCAGGCCGGGCCCCAGCAAGCGGCGGGGCGACCGCGGACCGTCGGCTTGGCCAGCGGCAGCGCTGATCGGCGGCAACCCGACCCCAAGAGGGACGGACAGGGGACCGACCACGACGACGGCGTGCGAAAGCGAGAGAGAGAACAACAGCGGGGCCACCAAGGTCACGAAGTAGGCCACGAAGGGTGACAGCGGGGACACGAAGGGAACGCGTATGGGGCAACGAAGAACACGAACGAGCGGGGGCTACGAAGGGCAGATAATGCGGGGCAACCGAAGGCAACGACGGGGCCACTGAGGGTAGCAACTGGGCCACGTAGGACAGCGAGGGGGCCACGAAGGGCGACAGCGGGGCCACGAAGGGCATACACATGGTGCCACGATGGGCGCGAACGAGCGGGGGCCACAAAGGGCATACATATATTGGGCCGCGGAGGGCAAAGACGGGGCCACTGAGGGCAGCAACGGGGCCACGAAAGGCAGCGAGGGGGCCACAAAGGGCGACACCGGGGCCACGAAGGGCATGCCTATGGGGCCACGACGGGCGCGAACGAGCGGGGCCACGAAGGGCATACATATATGGTCGAGGGTTTGGATCCCCCCCCCCCAATGCTAATGCCATATAGGGGGGGGGAAGAGGAAGAGGAGGAGGAGGAGGAGGAGGAGGAGGAGGAGGAGGAGGAGGAGGAGGAGGAGGAGGAGCAGTGGAGGAGGAGGCGGAGGAGGCTCCAGGATCATATGATCGCGGGGAGCCCGCGATCATATATGATCGCGGGTTCTGGGCCCACGCCCCCCCCCCCCTCCCCAAGATGGGATGGGTGAAAGGTCCTCGGGCCCCCCCCCCAGATGGGATGGGGAGGGGGAGGAGGAGGAGGAGGAGGAGGAGGAGGAGGAGGAGGAGGAGGAGGAGGAGGAGAGGAGGAGGAGGGAGGAGGAGGAGAGGAGGAGGAGGAGGAGGAGGAGGAGGAGGAGGAGGAGGAGGAGGGGAGGAGGAGAAGGGGGAGGAGGAGGAGGAGGAGGAGGAGGAGGAGGAGGAGGAGGAGGAGGAGGAGGACGACGACGACGGCAATGACGACGACGACGACGACGACGACGACGACGACGACGACGACACCGACAAAGACGAAAACGACGACGACGACAACGTCGACGGCACCACGACGACGTCGAGCACCGGAGCTGTCAACATGACGCCAATGCTCCCAGCCACACGCCGCACCAACGCCGCACCCACAGGCGGGGAGGGAGGGGGGGGGGAGGACCATGGCGTCACCCCACACATACCCACAGCAACACACCACACCCAACCCACATCCACAGAAGGGGGGGAGCCAACACGACACGCCCACGCCCACAGAGGGGGGGAGGCATCGCGCGCGGGGGGGGGGCCCGATGGCATTAGCATTGGGGGGAGGGGGGGGGGAAACCCTCGACCATATATGGGGCCACGAAGGGCAGCGAGGGGGCCACGAAGGGGTGCAACGGGGCCACGAAGCGCAGCGAGGGGGCCACGAAGGGCTGCAACGGGGCCACGAAGGTGACTACCTACCAGACCACCCCAACCCAACCCGAAGACCCGAATTTCGGGCTGGGGGGGGTATGGGCTCCATATGTGTTCTTTCGATGTTCCCGGACCCCCCCACACTGGAAATGGAGGGCAAATTGAGGCCTTCGGGTTGGGTTGGGGTGGATTGGTGGGTGGTGAGAAGGGCAGCGAGGGGGCCACGAAGGGCTGCAACGGGGCCACGAAGCGCAGCGAGGGGGCCACGAAGGGCTGCAACGGGGCCACGAAGCGCAGCGAGGGGGCCACGAAGGGCTGCAACGGGGCCACGAATCGCAGCGAGGGGGCCACGAAGGCCTGCAACGGGTCCACGAAGGGAACGAGGGAGCCACGAAGGGCTGCAACGGGGCCGCGAAATGCAGCGAGATCCCGTTTCCTAAATCATCTGTGAGGGAGTCCTAAGCGTGAGCGCGACTCCTGGGTGCCTGAGTGTTGGGAGCGCGGCGCTTGAGTAAATTGCGGGAAATTCCAACGCAAGGGCGTTATTCTGAAGTAAATTGCAAGCAAGTCTCCAGCGAGAGCGCGACTCCAGAGCGCCGAGAGAACGATTCCCAAATACAGTATCAGGAAGTCTTAAGCGAGAGCGCGATTCCCGAATAAAATGCGAGGACGTCTCAGGCGGGAGCGGGGGTCCTGGCTAAATCGTGAGGAAGTCTCAGGCGGGAGACGTTGTTGTTGTAACCCGGGGGCCAGGGGCACAGTTTGCGCATCAAGCTTTTCCCCGTCAAAAACAGGATGCGAGCGTCGAGGGGCACACTTCGATGGAGAAATATCAGTATGCACCAGTGGGGGGATCAACAATAATTATTCTTCAGAAATGAGAGTTCAACAGCAGCAGCAGCAACAACACCAACAACAACACCGACAACAACAACAGCACCACCACCAACAACAACAACAACCACAACAACCACAACACCAACAACACAACAAACAACAAACAACAAACAACAAACAACAAACAACAAACAACAAACAACAAACAACAACAACAACAACAACAACAACAACAACAACAACAACAACAACAACAACAACAACAACAACAACAACAACAACAACAACAACAACAACAGCAACATCAGCAACAGCAACAACAACAGCAGCAACAACAACAACAACAACCACAACACCAACAACACCAACAACACCACAAACAACAAACAACAAACAACAAACAACAAACAACAAACAACAAACAACAAACAACAAACAACAAACAACAAACAACAACAACAACAACAACAACAACAACAACACAACAGCATCAACAACAACAGCAACACCAACAACAACAACAACAACTTCAACTGCAACAACAACGACAACAGCAGCAACACCAACAACACCAATCCCAGCAACACCACCAACAACAGCAAAAACAACACCAACAACAACTAGCACACCACCAACCACACCAGCAGCAACAACAACAACACCAACGGCACCAACAACAACACCAACAACTATACCAACAACAACACCGACAACAACAACAGCACCAACCACAACCACAGCAACAGCACTAGCAACAACACTAACACCGATCACAACACCAACAACACCAACAACAACCACAACAACAGCAACAGCACCATCACCAACAAGACCAACAACAGCACCACCACCAACACCATTACCACCAACAACAACAACAGCAACACCAACACCAACCACGACAACAATAACACCAGCACCAACGACATCAACAACATCAGCAACAACAACAACAGCATCAACACCACCACCAACAACATCAGAAATGGGAGTTCAGCAACAACAACAACAACAACAACAGCAACAGCAACAACAACAACAACCACACAAACCACAACACATACATACACAATAACAACACCAACATCAACAACACACTGCGGTCGGACATCTCTGGAGGCCCACGCGCCAGATCCATGGATCCGGGGAGGCACCCCCGAACCACGCGGCCATGCAGTGTCGCCCGCTTGGGCGACGGAACTCGCCGATCCTGCATGGAGACGGGACTGCACGGTTTCCCCCGGGGCCGTAGGCGACCCGAGGAGGAGGAGGAGGAGGGAGGAGGAGGAGGGAGGAGGAGGAAGAGAGGAGGAGGAGGAGGAGGAGGAGGAGGAGGAGGGGAGGAGGAGGAGGAGGAGGAGGGGCAGGGGGAGGGGGAGGGCAAGAAGGAGGAGGAGGAGGAGGAGAAGGAGGAGTATTCTATGGAGGAGGAGAAGGAAGAGGGGGGGAGGAGGAGATGGGGGAGGAGGAGGAGGAGGAGGAGGAGGAGGAGGAGGAGGAGAGGAGGGAGGAGGAAGGAGGAGGAGGAAGAGGAGGAGCAAGAGGAGGAGGCGGAGGAGGGGAGGAGGAGGAGAGAGGAGAGGAGGAGGAGAGGAGGAGGAGGAGGAGGAGACGCAGGGGGAGGGGAAGGGGAAGGAGGAGGAGGAGAAGGATGAGGAGGAGGAGGAGGAGGAGGAGAGGAGGAGGAGCAGGTGAGGGAGGATAGGAGAAGGAGGCGGAGGAGGAGGAGGAGGAGGAGGGGAGGAGGAGGAGGAGGAGAGGGAGAGGGAGAGGGAGCAGGAGAGGAGAGGGAGGAGGAGGAGGAGGAGGACGGGCCGCCTAAGCCCTTCGGAGAAACCCTCCAGACAAGACCCGTCGCTGATGCGTGCCCTGCTCCGCGGTGGCGCTTCCTCGGCCCGGGTCGCCACACATATACGGGCCCCGCCCCTCGGAGGGGGGGTTGGGGGCGCCTCGGTGCTGCTCTTGCCGAAGAGCGCTTCCTCCGCCCTCCGGCAGGTCGCCTCGACGTTCCTGCAGCCGGCCCACCCCCCCGCCCCCGGCGGGGGTCTGGTCTTTGGCGGTACGCACAAGGGGAGGGAGGGGGGAGGGCTTCTTAGAAGGAGGCTGCTTCTTAGAAGGCGACGGCCTTACGTCTACAGATAAGGCCCGCGACTGCTAAGAAGCAGGGGTGCTTCTGAGAAGCCCTGCCCCCTCCCCCCCCCCCTTTGCGCGTGGCTGAAGGGGTCTGGTCTGCAGAGGCAGGCTCAGTGACTTTCGCATCGGCTCGCATCGTAGACTCGGATCGAGTCGGCGTGGCCTCTTCGCATCAGGAAGTCTGGGCCGTCCGAGAGGGAGGGAGGTGTCCAAGAGGGGGGGGGGGGGGGGCGCAGCGTGGCCCGAGGAGAGGACTGTGCGCGGGGGGGGGGGGGGCTAGGGAGCGTGATTGCTGGCATGACACGGTGGATCGCGAAATCCGGTGATCCCAGGTCGAGGGCCCAAGAGGCCCCACCCCAGATGGGATGGGCCCAAGGGCTCCACGGGCCCCTCTCCCCGATGGGATGAGGGGTGAAACGACGACGACGACGACGACGACGACGACGACGACGACGACGACGACGACGACGACGACGACCCCACAGCGGGAGGCATGGGGGCACGGGCACCCACCACCACGCTTCGCCCACAGGGCTGCGGCCACAGGGGGGGGGGATTCGATCCCATTCGCGAGGCCCTCGAGAGGCTTTCGGGCGTGCCTATCCAGCGGGTGGGGTGGAGGGGGGAAGGCCGATCCCATTGGCATTGGGGATATCATGCCCCCCGCCACGACATACCCCCCCCGCCCCCCATCCCCCCCCCCCTCTTGGACGCCCCGGAACATCGAAATAACATTCACAGGTTCCAATGTTGACAATGTTAGCTCGCGCGCGTGCCCCTCGCCTCACGCACAGAGCGAAGCAAGATCGCAGAGCAGATCCCCAACCCAATCGAATATTTGCCAAGCCCATGCAAGCACAGCAGCGCCCGGCAAGATCGTCCGTGCAGCGCACAGCAGGCACCGGCAACCACCGCCCTTGCAGGACGCACAACTCGGGGATGGACAGACCTCCCTTTAGTAAAACGTGGTTTAGTGAAAACGACCTCGGGCCCAAACCTGGCGGGCGCAAGCCTGGAAAATAACGGCCGCGGCGCTCTCTCGAGAACCGAAAACGGACAATTCACTAATCGACGTGTCAGGGTAGGAGGTCGATCCACCTCCGAACAACAGCGCCCATACAAACATCGCGCAAGATCGGAGTCAAATCGGATCGAGCCGGCCGAAATCGATACCGAATCGGCTCGATCGGATAGGCATGGACCCTGCAGGGGTGCCGCCCAGCTGGTCCCCAGACCTCGACGACGACGAGGGCTTCGAGGATCGAGCTTGGAGGACCGAGCTTCGAGGATCGAGCTCCGGGGCTCGAGCTGAGGATCGAGCTTCGGAGAAGCCTGAAGCCTCCAGGCTGCTCTCGAAATCGTTTTCTTTTATCTTTAAAAAACAATTTAAAGAAAAAAATCGGCGTTTCGACATTGGGCGGCAAGGGGGGGCGGAGGGGGGGTCTGGCTCCAGACCTCTGCTCAGCGAGACCGTGCTGCACGAGTGCGGCCTCTGGGGGAGACACCACCCGCTCGAAGCAGGCGCCAGCAAAAACAGCGCCAAGATCTACACCGAGGGGGGGGCGAGGAGGAGGGGGGGGATTTGGGGGCCCGCGCCGATCGGCACAACAATTCTCGGGAGCGGCCAAGAGGGGGGTGTCCAAGAGGGGGGGGTGCAAATCATGACCGGCGGCATGTGCGCGGCCCAGCGGGGGGGCGAGGGACGTAATGAAATTTGAGGAGGCGCCATGAAATCAGAGGAAAAATCATGGCCCGCGCCATGAAATCCCCCCCCCCGTAGTCATCAACCCCCTCTTTTCCGCTCCCGAAACTCATTATAAAAAAAACACGATCACATCCGGGCGTGAAGTGGGGGCGCGGACCCGAGCGGCCACGGCCGGGCGCGGCCAGGCACAACCTGCCCGAGAGCTGGGGCGTCCACGGGCCCGGGCCGATCCAGATCCAGGCCACAGTCGTGCTCTGCAGGATCCTGCAGGGCGAGGGGTCAGGAGGAGGAGGAGGAGGAGGAGGAGAAGGAGGAGGGGGAGGAGGAGGAGGAGGAGGAGGAGGAGGAGGAGGTGGAGGAGGAAGAGGAGGACGAGAAGTAGGAGTAGGAGGAGGAGGAGGATGAGGAGGCGGATGCGGAGGAGGAGGCGGAGGAGGAGGACGAGGACGAGGAGGAGGAGGAGGAGGAGGAGGAAAGGAGGAAAGGAGGAGCGGCGCGCACAAGGGGGTCTAGGGGGAGGGGGGAAGAGCTTCTTAGAAGGAGGCTGCTTCCGAGAGGGCGCCGCCCCTGCATCTGGGGCGCCGCCCCTGCATCTGGAGATCAGGCCCGCGCGTTCTCAGACGCAGGGGGTGCTCCTGAAAAGCCTTGCCCCCTTCCCCTAACCTTAGGTCGGGCATGTCCTCCTACAGGGGGAAGTTCGACGAAAAACGAGAAATCGTCAAACCATAACAAAACATATGCAAAACATCGTCCCCATGCTGTTTTTGTTTCACTATTTTTGGATACTCCTCCCGTAGAGGGACGTGCGACGTTGAAACCCCCCTCTGCGCGTGGCCGCAAGACCTGCAGGATCCCGCGCGCCAGCCCATGTCAAAATTGCAGGATCCTGCATGGCCCCAGCGCTCTGGCTGACGCCCGCTTGTACCGACTCCCCGTCCCAAGGCTCCCGACGAGCTGGGGGCCCTCTGCGTCCAGAGACCTCCCAGTTGGGGTCCGAGTACGTCAGGTTCGTGTCGTGCCGACTTCGGCGTTGGTTTCTGACACCGCGGGGATCGTTCAATCTTGCACGATCGGCCGTTTCCGAAAGGTCCAAATCGCTCCACATCGAACGATTCTGGGTCGCCCGCGGCGTTCAAAATTGAACGGTGCTGGCGGGGTCGCCGCCTGTCGACACGACGCGAACCTACCGTAGATGGGGTCGGAGGATCCGGCCGCATCGCCAATGCATCGCGCCGACGTATCGGCGATGCGTCGGCGATGCGTCGGCGACGCATCGGCGTGGGGAAGCACGGTCTCCGCATCGAGCCGCACGGCCGATGCATCGGCGATGCGGAGCGATCCTTCGACACCATCTACTCCGACCCCATCTAGGATTAGGTCGGGCGTGCCCCCCTACAGGCGGATTTTGAACGACAAATCAAAGATATACCCAACATGCTCAAATATAGTCAAAAATGATTGTAAAGAAAAACGTCCCCCGGACGCTCCCGACCTAACCCGATCCCCATGAACGTGGCCTGCGCCCCCATGGCCGATGGACCCCCTGGATGGGGATATGGGCCGTCCCCTTCGGGTTTCGAAGCGTGTCCCCAACTGGGGCGCAAGGATGCCGGGGGTATGGATGGGGAGGGGGATGAGGACCCCCAGCAACCTAGCACCCCAGCAGACCCCCGGCATCCTTGCGCCCCAGCAGACCCCATCCCCATCCCCATCCAGACCCCCAGCATCCTTGCACCCCACTCGGGGACACACGCCTCGAAGCCCGAAGGGAACGGCCTACATCTGGGCCCAGGCCACGTTCATAAGGGACGGGGATCGGTGAGACGATGCCAACTCTGGGAGCTCTCGGGGCCGCTGGCCCCTTGGGGCCCCTGCCCGTGCGAGCGCTGGCGGCGGCGTCTCGCCCTGCTCCCGCCCGAGCGCGGCGACTTCTCCGTGCCGACCGCCCGTGGAACCGACGTCCTCTTGGGTGGCCCAAGAGCGGGTCCAGCCCAAAGGGGGTGGTGCAATAGATTTGGGGCAAGCGTATTGCAAGTGTACTGCGCCAGAGGATTGTACTGCAGTGCATTGCGAGTAGTGTGTCGCGAATAGCGACTTGCACGCGAACGTCCAGCAATACACTTGCACCCTGGAACGTATCGCACGCCCCAAATGCATCGCAACGCCACAAATCTATTGCACCACCCCCTTGTCGCTGGACCCCCTTTCGGGTCAACCCGAGTCCTGGGACCCCAGCGGTTGGTGCACATGGACCTATTTGGGCCCCCCAGGGCCCAAACACGTCCACGTTCACCGCCCGCCGACGTCCCCGAAAGCCGGCCTCCGAAGGGCTGGCGGTGTGAGGCCGTGGGCGCCACCTGCACGGTCAGCCGGGTCTGCCTGGCACGGCCTCTGGACGCCCGCGTGCAGGACTGAAGAGCTTTATAAGGCGAAGCCAGGGCGAGGATCAAAATTGGGCGAGGATCAATCGAGAATCGCTGAGATCCGGCGGCTCTGGAGGATACCTCGGGCGGCGCGGCCTTCTCAAAGCGTTCCGGAACGCTCTGAGAGCGTTCCGGAACGCTCTGGAACGAATTCATCCTCGCCCTAGTCCCGTCCGACCTTATGAGGAACAGCCTGGAGGCCAGTAAGACCAGAGGCGCTTGGCACTCGTGAGGACAGCACAACCCACCCCCACCCCCAGCCAGGACCCCAACTCCCGACCTGGTGATTCAGGGGGTCCTTGCAGGGTGGGGGTATTTGTTTTGAAGCCTTTGGGGGTGAAAACCACCCCCACCCCCAGCCAGGACCCCTTGGTGAGCATCGTTTAACCGATCCCCATCCCCGGCGGCGTGGCCTGGGCCCCACTGGTCGATATATCCCCCTAGATGGGAATATAGGCCCGCCCTTCGGGTTTCGAGGGGTGTACCCCCAACTGAGGTGGTAATTTGGTGGGGGTCTCGAAGGAGATGAAGATGGGGATGGGGGTCGGATAAACGATACTGACTTGGATCACCAGGCCAGGAATGGGGGTCCTGGCTGGGGGCAGGGGTGGGTTGTACTGTCCTGAACTCATGCGAAGCGGGAACCTTCTGACGAACACCCTGGGCGCCTCGCGCGGCAAATCGAGGCCCAGCTTACGTCGGAACACCTCGTCAGAATGGCGTCGGGCGCCCGTCGGACTGCGCCAGCCGTGCGTCGGCTTGCCGTCGGGCTTACGGCGGACTTGCGCCGGGACGTCGCCGCGCGAGCGTCGTGCCACATCCGGCGGGGCGGACGTGCAGACCAGGTGATTACAACTACAGTCGAGGCGTTGACCTAAGGACCCCTGAATAAGGAACGAGGCCCCTTTTCCCCATGAGTTAAACTTCGATTTCCCATGGGAAACCTCAGGAAAACCTCAGACAAACTGTTAAACAATCAAAGAACACCGAGCCCCTTCCCAATGAAAAGGGTTCCTTCTTCAGGGCCCCGACTGTATTGCGCGCCGCGCGAGGCCCCCCAGGGTTGACCTCATGGCACGTGGGCGTCTCTGAGGTGACGGCCGACGACTGCTTGAGACCTTGCCGTCGCAACCTTTTGTCACCGAGGCGCTTTCGCCTGGCAAATCGGGCCCCCGGACAGTCTGAAATCGATCGGGCTCGGACGAAGGCGGCAGAAAGACGAGGTCCAGCAGGGCTCCAGGAAGTGCCTGCGGTGTTGCAGAACTTGGGGCAGCACGTGGGAGCGGGACTGAGGAGTGGGGGAGGGAGCATCAGTGGGAGCGGGAGTCGGGGGCGGAGAAAATCGGAGCAAGGCCTAAGGCGAGCTGAGAGAACGACAGCTCGCAATAGGTCCCGAAACCCTTCCTGGTGCCCAAGCGCCCCCCAGTTTGCCGAGCTGCGTCCGGCCATGCCTGCCCGGAAACTGCGAAACAACTCAGGATACGTTTCCCTCAGGACCCGCTTCCCACATGGCGAGGAGCACAAGGATAACGAATTACCCCCCCCCCTGGCTGGCCGGTACTCGATGCCGACCTTCTCTGCGACCCGCCTTTTGGGCGCGGCCTGACCAACCCCTAGCAAGGCATCCCCTTCCGTGGCGTCATCCTCGCCTCTACGTCTTGGGGCCAGGCGAGGGGGGCGTCACTTCAGGGTAAGACGAAGCCAGGACGAGGATCAAATTCGGGTGAGAATCAATCGAGAAAATCTCTTGGATCCCGCAGCTTTGGAGAGGATGTATCGGGCGCCGCGGCCTTCCCATAGCGTTCCAAAACGCTCTGAGAGCGTTCCGGAGCGCTCTGGAACGGATTTACCCTCGTCCTGGCCCCGTCCGAAATGGATGGTTTGCCAGACCCCCGACGTGCTGATTTTTTGGGACAACGTCGACCCCCAGAAATCTGGACCCCTCCCCTTCCCTGGGACCCGCTTCTCGTCCTGAGCCGTTTTCCTTAATCATCCTGTGGTGTTGGGTCCTCGTTTCGAGGAGACAGCGCCGCGCGTCACCTCCTCTCCTCCTCCTTCTCCTCCTCCCGAACCTCCCTCCTCCTATTATTACCATCATCCCATCATCATCATCGCCATCACCGTCCACAGAATAACCACCACCATCATCATCATCATCATCATCATCATCATCATCATCATCATCATCACCATCATCATCATCATCATCATCATCATCATCATCATCATCATCATCATCATCATCATCATCATCATCATCATTATCAGCATCAGCATCAACATCATCATCAGCATCACATAATCATCCTCCTCATCATTAACGTCATCATAATCGCCATCATCATCATCATCATCATCATCATCATCATCAACATCATCCGCCTCAAAACCACCACCACCACGACCACCACCACCACCACCATCATCATCATCATCATCATCACCATCATCATCATGACCACCACCACCACAAGTTATCATCATCATCAGCATCAGCATCATCGCCATCATCCATCATAGGCATCCGCAGTAATATGATCAGCATCATCGTCAACAACGTCAACATCAACATCAACATCACAATCACCATCACCATCACCACCATCATCAACACCAATACCACATCATATCACATCATCATCATCATCATCATCATCATCATCATCATCATCATCATCATCATCATCATCATCATTATCATCATCATCGTCATCGTCATCGTCATCGTCATCGTCTTCGCCATCGTCATCGTCATCACCATCGTCATCGTCACAGGCATCATCATCGTCGTCAACATCGTCGTTATCATCGCCGTCACCATCACCATCATCGCCACCCATGTCGGCACACCCCTCACACGCTTCGTGGCGCACTACGGAGCTCCACCGAAGGCCCCAATGGCGGTGCCCACATGCATCCGCGCCACCCATTTCGGCAAACCCCAGACACGGTTCGTGACCCCATATGTGAACTCCACCGAAGGCCCCAATGGCGGTGCCCCTATACGTCCGCAGCACCTATGACGGCACTCCCCTCACACGCTTCGAGGCCCCATAGGCCCATAGGGAGCTCCACCGAAGGCCCCAAGGGCGGTGCCCACATGCGTCCGCGCCACCCATGGCGGCCCACCTCTCACACATTTTGTGGCCCCATAGGAAGCTCCACCGAAAGCCCCACCGGCGGTGCCAACATGCGTCCGCGCAACTCATGTCGGCACACCCCTGATACGTTTCGAGGCCCTATAGGGAGGGAACTCCACCGAAGGCCCCAATGGCGGTGCCCGCATGCGTCCGCGCCACCAATGTCGGCGCACCCCTCAAACGCTTCGTGGCCCCATAGGGAGCTCCACCGAAGGCCCCAATGGCGGCGCCCGCATGCGTCTGCGCCACTCATTTCGGCACACCCCTCACACGCTTCGTGGCCCCACAGGGAGCTCCACCGAAGGCCCCCGTGGCGGTGCCAATATGCGTCCGCGCCACCCATGCCGGCACACCCCTCACACGTTTAGTGGCCCCACAGGGAGCTCCACCGAAGGCCCCAGTGGCGGTGCCCACATGCGTCCGCACCACCCATGCCGGCACAACCCTCACACATTGATTGGCACCATCGGGAGTTCCACCGACGGCCCCAGTGGCGGTGCCAACATGCGTCTGCGCCACCCATTTCGGCACACCCCAAACACGTTTCGTGGCCCCACAGGGCGCTCCACCGAAGGCCCCCGTGGCGGTGACAACATGCGTCCGCGCCACCCATGTCGGCACACCCCAAACACGTTTCGTGGCCCCATATGGGGAGCTCCACCGAAAGCCCCAATGGCGGTGCCCACATGCGTCCGCGCAACCCATGTCGGCCAACCCCCCACACGTTTGGTGGCCCCATAGGAAGCTCCACCGATGGCACCAATGGCGGTGCCCACATGCGTCTGCGCCCCCCATGTCGGCACACCCCTCACACGTTTCGTGGCCCCATGGGGAGCTCCACAGAAGGCCCCAAGGGCGGTGCACTCATGCGTCCGTGCTACCGATGTTTGCAAACCCCTCACACTTTTCGTGGTCTCATAGAGAGCTCCACCAAAGGCCCTAATGTCACCGCTCGCATGCGTCCGCGCAACCCATGTCCGCAAACCTCTCACACGTTTCGTGGCCCCACAGGGAGCTCCACCGAAGGCCCGAAGGGCGGTGCCCACATGCGTCCGCACCACCCATGCCGGCACACCCCTCACACATTGAGTGGCACCATCGGGAGCTCCACCGAAGGCCCCAATGGCTGCGTCCACATGCGTCCCGCGCCCATGTCGGCACACCCCTCACACGTTTCGGGGCCCCATAGGGAGCTCCACCGAAGGCGGCTTCCAGCAGCGGTACGCACAACTGCGTATGTTTGGGTCCTTCGCCAGGAGAACTTCACGGTCCCGAAGCCCAGGGAGGGCCCCCTGAGGCCGAGAAGAGTGAACAAGCATCCCGCCGTGACCTCTCCACAGCGCCAGGGGGTCTGGCTTGCCAGGGGTCGGTTCGGCCGGCCCTGAGCCTCGCGTCCTCCACCATGCCGCTGCTGCCCGCCTCTCGCGCACGGCGCTGGGGCGGAGGGGCGGCACGGCCGGAGCGGCGCGCTCGCCCTCGATGTCCCGAGGGGGCGTTCGCGCGCGAAGCCAGGGCGAGGAGCAGACCGGGCAAGGACCGAGCGAGCATCTCCGAAGTCCGGCGGCTCTGGAGGCCGTCTCGGGCGCCGCGGCCCTCCCAGAGCGTTCTGGGACGGACCTGTCCTCGTCCGGGCCCCGTCCGAGACAACGTGGGGCGAAGAAGGCAGGCGGAGCCCGGCGGACCCGTCCGATCACTGAAGGAAGCGAAGTCGAACCCCCACAAGGTACAATCACCATCTGGTGGCAAGGACCAGCGGAAGCGCTTGAGACAGGAGGGGACTCCAAGTTTCGAGGGAGGAAATAAAGCCACCCTGACCCGCACTGCTGGCATTTACTGAACGGTCTTGCGTGTTCACTGGATGGCCCTGTCCTGTTCGACTCCAGCTAGATGGGTGCGCTTACTAAGGTCCCTCGATTGTAGGGGCGGTCATTGTGCAATCATGCGGCACGAACTCACGTGGACTAAGGATCCGTGGGTCTGGGCTGGACTCGAAGGATTGCCCCCGAGACAATGCGCTGGCGCCACCCGAGTTGGGCGAGGGACCGGGCTGACTTGGTATGGAAGCTGGGCCGTCGCTATAGCCCCCGCCAGTCCACGCGCCTGGATCCTTCCTTGGAAGAGGACGGAGAGAATCCGCTCTCTGCGGGGACGCGCCGACTCGGGCTCGGCCCAAGCCTGGGTCGGCCAGAGAGCCTCGTGGCGAAGCCCGGGCAGCCGCCCAATCACTCCCAAACTCGCGGTGCGTTCTGCCAGGCCGAGCGGGCAAGATGGCTCCCACGGGGGAGCCGACCTTGCCACCTACGCGTCCGCGTTCTGCTAGGTCGGCCGTGCAACCCACGTGCCTACACGCGCATAAGGAGACGCCAATTCAGCGGAGGGCGGAACAGGGGACTCGGCCCCACGCGGTCCCAAGACCCGGGTTAGCCAGAGGGGAGCGGCTGACACCCGCTAGCGCTCACCCTAATTTTGCGTGGGCCCCAACCTCGGCTACACGCAAGAGTGACCCTGGGTAGGAGTGACCTCTGGTGCGCGGCTTTTGGGGGGCCGCGGAGGGGGTGTGGGGGGGGGCACATACGAGCGCGCCAGACGCCGCTGCCGCCTCGCGTTCGGCGATCGGGGGACCCCAGGTGGGCCCGCACCAGAGGTTGCACTCCGGCGAAAGGTCTCTCTTGCGTCTGATCGACGTTAGTGCTGGCCCCCACTTTGCGTGGGCCCCAACCTTCCTCTTCGGGGATCTTCTGACTTGGGTCAATCCAGACCCGGGTCAGTCAGGCCTTGCAGAATCCTGCAAGATCCTGCACCCAAACCCGGGTCGATGCGAAGGATCCCGCAAAATCAAAATCCTGCGGGATCCTGCGCCCAAACCCGGGTCAATGCGACCCTGGCCCTGCAGGATCCTGTAAGATCGGGCGCTCTGCCTGACCCCTGTTGACATTGACCCCCGTCTCGAGGCTCCCGACCTCTCCCCGTCCCCCTCTTCGCCCGGCCCTGGCCGCCCACCCCCCCCTTAGCGGCTTGCCCGCCGCGGGGAGGGGGGGGGGGGCGCGGGGGAGGCGCGTGAGCCTTCGGAGCGGAGCGGCTCAAGAGGAGCGACTCCGCGCGAGGAGGAAGAGGAGGAAGAGAGCAAGGGAAGAGGAGGCGGGGAACGAGGAGCGGGACGGGGGGGAAGCCGAGAATGCCGACGACAACGGGAATATTGGCGACGACGACGACGACGACGACGACGACGACGACGACGACGACGACGATGGGAACGACCACGACCACGACCACGACGACGACAACGACGACGAAGACGACGAGAACGACCACGACTACGACCTCGACCACGACCACGAGCATGACCACGACGACAACGACGACGATGACGACGATGACTTCGGCGGCGGCGGCGAGTCTGAGCTCCACGAGGATCACGACGACGAGATCGGCCATAACGACCACCAGCACGTCGGCGGCGACGGTGGCGGCCTGCGGCTAGCGACCGCGCCGATAGCAGGCCTCCAGGGGGACCCTCGGGATGAGACTTGGGGAAGGGAGAGAGAGAGTGAGAGACAGAGAGAGGCGAGGATGAGTGGAGGGATGATAATGGCTCCTCTATCCTCGAAGCTCTCCTCGTTGCCGAGGTTTGGGTGTGAACGGGCCCCCCTGTGCAGAGAGGAAGAGGAGGATGCGGATGAGGCAGAGGAAGGAGGAAAAAGAGACGGAGGAGAAGGATGCAGGAGGAGGTGGCGGACGAGGAATGGGGGAGGGGGAGGAAGAGGAGGAGGGGGAGGGGAGAGGAAGAGGAGGAGGAGAGAGGAGGAGGAGAGGAGGAGAGGAGGAGGAGAGGAGAAGGGGGGGGGGGGGGGGGGGGGGGGGGGGGGACGAAGAGGAGGAGGCTCGGAGGAGGAGGAAAAGACGGAGGCGGAGACGGAGGGAGGAGGAGGAGGAGGAGGAGGTGGGAGGAGGAGGAGGAGAAGGGAACGAGGAAGGAGGAGGGAAGAGGAGGGGAAGGAGGAGGAGGCTAGGAGGAGGAGGAGGCAGCAGGCGAGGAGGAAGGAGGAGGAGGAGGAGGAGGAGGAGGAGGAGGAGATGGGGACGAGGAGGAGGAGGAGGAAGCGGAGGAGGAGGCAGCGGAGGAGGACGAGGCTAAGGAGGAGAAGGAGGCTCAGGAGGAGGAGGAGGAAGCTGAGGAGGAGGAGGAGGAGGCGGAGGAGGAGGAGGGGACGAGGGGGAGGAGGAGGAGGAGGAGGAGGAGGAGGAGGAGGAGGAGGAGGAGGAGGAGGAGGAGGAGGAGGAGAAGGGATGCGCTCAAGGGCTCGCCGCTCGAACCCCTCGCCCCTGACCGTCCCTCACGTGCCTTTTTCCTTGCCTTGGCGGCCGCAAGGAGGCGGCCCCTCCCATCCTAAGACGAAGCCTAGACGAGGATTACATCGGGTGTAAATACACCGAGAATCTATAACATCCGGCTGCTCTGGAAGATGTCTCGGGCGCCGCAGCCTTCTGAGAGCGTCCCGGAACAGATTTATCCTCGTCTGAGCCCCGTCCGACCTCCCTCCTCTGACGGCGTCTTTTCCAAGGCCCTTTGTAGACCTTGAGCAGAGACCGACCGTCTCGGCATTCCTATAGGCCTACCATGGAATGATCTTAGAACCCTGACATGCTCTGAGAACAAGATCAATGTTCTTAGAAAATAAACGCATGAAGCTATCAAGGACCCCCCCCCGGGGCTATCATTAGCACCGCAACGTAATTAAATCATTCTGGGGGGGGGCGGCTTTCGCCGAACGATGTAGTTAGCACCACGCAAATGAACGAACAACACAAACCAATCCCGCGCCCTGGCTCGGGTGATGTCTCAATTGGAATTGGAATAGGAATAAGGGTAACAATGGCATGCGAGTAAAAATAATATAAGTAATAATAATACGAATAATAACAGTTCATAAGATAAGTGATAATAATGATAAGAGTGAGAATGATAATAGTAATGGTAAGAGTAGTACTACGGGGTAAGAATACTGATGCGAATAAGAATAATAATCCGAATCCGAATAAGAAACTGATAATAATAATGATCCTCAATATGATAATCATAATGATAGTAAGCATACGCTGAATAAGAGCAATAATGTTTCTCATTATCTGCATCATCCTTGTCCTATACGATTTGTATCACCACCCCTGTTGAACAATTGGTTTTTCCCGGTCGTCGTGTGGGTTCAGGCATCCTAGGATATCGCCCCCGCCACGCACGGCGCTTTATCTTAGCTCCGCACCCGCACAAACTAATTACGACAGCTTGCCAAACAAGACCAGATGTACAATAAGACCAATAATGCGATAACTGAGAGTAAGGCTACGAATACAGGAAATAATACGAATAATAATGAGACTGATAGTATGAATAAGCATGACAATACTATAAGAAAGACAATGAGAAACATAATAAGGTTGGGAGTACGAGTAATAATAGTTCTCAGAGTAACAATAATACTGTACGGGTAACACTAGTAATCATAATACGACTACGAATAGTAATGATACTAATAAGAATGGTAATGATACCAGGAATGATAATACGAATAATGACAAGAGATTGAGTATTAGTAATAAGAGTAGTACTACGAGTAATGATAATACCAAGATTAGTAATATGCATAATCCGAAAACTAAGACTGACAATACTAAGAAAACAAATCAATCATACTAAGAATACTAACAACAATAATAACACTAAGGATGGTCACACTTAGAACAACAGTATCAATAATAATAATAATAATAATAATACGAATGCAAACCACACTAAGAATAAGAAGAAGAGCTTGGTCTCAGTATCTTCACCATCCTTGCCCTATACGATTTGTATTACCACCCCTGTTGAAACATTGGTTTACCCAGCCGTCGTATGGGGAAGTGCATCCGAGGATATCGCCCTTGCCACGCACGGCGCGTTATCTAAGCACCCGCACCGCCAAAACTATTCGCCCCCCATCGTAGTCACGGACGGTTCCTTTTCAAAGCTGGGCTCTCCCTTGCGTGGGACTTAATGTTTTTATTGTTGGTGTTGGCGTTGTTGGTGTTTTTGATGCTGATGTTGTTGTTGGTGTTGTTATTGGCCGTGCAGTTCTAGACATAAGTCATATTGCTGGCATTATTGTCGTTGTTCGTGTTGGTGCCGTGCCGTAGAGAAGTCTTGAGGAGGAGGAGGAGGAGGATTTTTTCTGTTTAGCTGGGCCAAAGCCTCTTGACTGAGGCCTTGGCCCTCGGCTTGATCCGTAATGGCGAATAAGAGCCCAAATCTTGCGAGAATGTCTCAGGCGGTGTGCTTGTTTCGGCGAGCAGACTCGTCTGCGTTCACATAAAGGTGCGAGGTGTCAGGGTAACGTCTCTGGGCCGGATGCGTTATACTTTCGCCGGAGAGGGGGGTTCTTACTTGCTTCTCCGGGTTAAACCAAATGTGTTAAAATAAAGCAGTCCCAGCCGGAAATGTTCTAAGGACATTTCGTGCAGACCACAAAAGTGTATTAGAACATTGTTTGGCGGGCCCATCGGCGAGCCAAGACGCTTCGCCACTGCTTGAAAACTACGCCCTTTGCTCAGGGGCCGGCCACGTCTTCTGGCCGGCCCCACAGTCCGAGAAGGCAAGCGTGCGAACTCCTTCCCCCATTGCGCCACCCGCAAGAAGAATGGAAGAGGAGGAGGAGGAGGAGGAGGGGGAGAGGATGAGGATGATGATGATGATGAGGAGGAGGAGGAGGAGGAGGAGGAGGAGGAGGGAGACGAGGAGGAGGAAGGAGGAGCCTGCTTGCAGCTTCCCTGCGTACGGCTACTGGGCTTACGCACGCACGCAGGCTGCTACAGACGCACTACTTCCACCATTCGTCGTGGAAGGCGCAGGGGCCGAAACAGAGGAGGAATGAGAAGAAGAGGACGAGGGGGACAAGGCGGAGGGACAAGGAATTCGCTGGAATTCGCTGGCAACCAATAGCGAGGTAGCGAATTCACAGGAAAAAGGAGCCAGGCGGGACTGCGCAGAGGCCGGCTTCCCGGCGCGGTGCGGCCTTTGAGGGGCCGGTGCGGCCAGGGAGACGCCGAAGGTCCTCGTGACTTCGGAGAAAGCGGGAGAGCGCCTTCCCGAACTGAGGGGCGCAGGTCCCTGCGGCCAAACTTGGGCCGCACATGCAGGACACGCGACGGATGGCATTCCTAACGCTCCTCCCCACCGTCTCGCCGTCGCCCCGCTCGCCGCCCAGGGAGGAGGGACGAGGAGCAGGAGCAGGAGGAGGAAGGGGAGGATCAGGGCGATGACGAGGGAGGCGGAGGAGGTGGGAGGAGGAGGGAGGCGCAGGAGGAGGGCGGCGGAAAAGGACGACTGGGGGGGCAGGAGGCAAGGAGGAATGAGGAGGCAGAGCAGGCGAAAGAGAAGAGGAGGAGGCCGAGCAGGAAAAGGAGGAGGAGGACGGGGAGGAGGGGGGAGAGACGAGGAGGGGCGAGGAGGGACGACGAGGACTCACCAGGGCGAGGAGGACGGTGACGAGGACGACGAGGACGAGGAGGGGCCTCCAAGGAGCACTCCCGCAGGAGGCGGGCCAGCCGGGCGCCGAGGGGCTCGGACGCCATCGGCCCGCGCAGCGCCCGCCCGGCAGGCCGCCCCGCTTCGGGGGGGGCGGCGGCGCGGGCGCGGCGCGGGCCGGCCGCGCCTCCTCGGGCTGCGCCCCCCCGCCCTGGAGGCGCGTCGCGCGGGGCGGCGGCGCGGGCTCCGCCTCCATCCTGGTCCATCCCTCCTGCATGCCTCCTCTTACTGCTCCTTCTCCATCCCTCCCCCCCCCTCCTGCTCATCATGCTTCGCCTCCTCCTCCTCCTCCTCCTCCTCTCCCCTCCTCCTCCTCCTCCTCCTCCTCCTCCTGCTCCTCCCTCCCCTCTCATTCCTCCTCTCCTCCGCCTCCTCCTCCTCCTCATCCTCCTCATTCCTCTATCTCCTCCTCCGCCTCCTCTTCCTCCTCTTCCACCTCTCATCCATGTCTCCGTCATCCTTCCTCCATCCTTCCTCCATCCTTCCTCCACACCTCCTCCACCTCCTCCAGGACTGTACGACGAGGGCAATGGATAAGGAACCACTGCGTAAGACACCCAGGGTCTGGAAGCCGGTGGAACTCCAGCCGTGGATTAGCCATGGATGCCACCATCGCCCTCGTCAGATCAGGAGTCCCCCAGGGTATGAAGCCTCCTGGGCACACGTCTTACACAACGCCCCGCTGGTTTAAGCCCGACGAGAGGGCCACTGAGCCCGATTCAGCGGGATGGAGCAGAATTGAGCGGGCTTATGCCTGATCAGGAACGTCTTCGACCACGGACACACCAGCGCCGATACCGAATCTAACCTCCTGGGAGATGTATCCGAGCGGGTGCTGCTGGAAGTGGTCCTGGCCCAAAGTGGGCGACGACTGACAAACTGGTCTTATGCGAGCAGACGTAGCGACCTGACGCCGCGACCTGCAGGGGCCGTCGGCATGGCACACTGCGCATGGAGTCAAGGCTCCGACGCGCGACCTTGCGCGAGTACAGTCGGACTGGGTTGGGCAGGACACGCGAGAGGACACAGGACCCTCCCGAGGGCCACGCTGCCACAGGAATGCAAGAGGCACGGGTCGCGAGACACAGGACACAAGAGCACCCTTGATCTGGCAGGGTCGACCCACTGATCCGGGCCGACTGCATCCGATCGAAGGCACCAACAGCTGCACGAGCACGACTTCTCGGAGGCTCGCGCGGGGATTTCTCGGATCGGCGCTGGACGCACCCTGGCCATCGCTCGGACGTCCATCCCCCGTGTTCTTGTTCGGTTTCGTGCGCGGCTTTTTCGCCAAATGATCAAGGATGCTCCTCGATGGTCCTCGCCGAAGCAAGAATGCGCGCGTCCGAGCGACGCCAAGCCCCCTCCCTGGCGCGCGGGACGCCCCCCACGGGGCCCGCCAGGGGGGGGGTCAGACATCCCCGCGCGGGGCCTCCGAGGGGTGATGCGCCTGCCGTGCTCGCCCTCTGACTGGCGCGCCAGCGTCCGCGCAGTCCACCCCGGTTGTTGTGCGTCGCTCGGGTGCGAGCCAGCCTCGGACTTGCCCCTATCCCTGAGAGGTTGACGAGCCGACCAGGCGATGACGACCTTGGGGATGCGCCCTTCGAGACGGAAGGGGGCCCGAAGATTGGCATCGAAGTGAGGCGATGCCAACCAAAGGGATCGAGTATGTTCCGGGGGAGGATGACAAAACGTGAAAACGCGGGGCGCCCCCCCCCCCCCCCCCCCCCCGTGGCGCCGACACCCGAACCCGACCCCCCCCCGCCCGCACGCGCGGTCGTTCTCGAGCCCCCCCCCCGCCCCCCCCCCCCTGCACGCCAACCCTGGGAGTGCGGCGGTTGGCTCTAACCTCCCACCCCCGTCGCCCGCGAGCTCTCGCTCTCCCCCCGCTTTCCCCTACTTCCGATATCCCCGCCGCCACCGTCGTCGGCTCGTGTCGTAGGCGGTAGGCGTCGTTACTTCGCTTCGCGATCGGTCCTATCCTATCCTATCCCTCGCTCTCTCCTCGTGGCTCTCCTGCTCCTGTTTCCAGTCCCCTCGCCACGCGTCTCCACAACGGCCTGCCCCTTTCTCGCCCTCCCAGGTTGCCCATGCGCGAAGCACGGATACGCCACGCCACCCCCACGGACACGCCACGGCCATCCCCCCCTCGGCATTTCAAGGAGGGGCGACGATCAAAATAATCAAAACATTGGACATCGGCCCGAGATGTTGGCTTGCTGGGAGCAGGTCGACACGGCCCTCCAAGTAAGGTGTCCCCGGCTTTCGTTTCGCGTCACTTGGGAGCTTCCCTTCCTAGGGGCCCCCGGGGCCTCGATAGCGAGACCCTGGGCGTTCTCGCCTGGCGCGTTGGGGTGCCGCAGACACGTGGGGTCTGGGGCTCCCGTCGTGCTTTTGCGATCGATGCTGTTGAGCGTCGCTTCATGGGGGGGGGGGGGGGCGATAATGGGGGCGGGGGGGGGGGAAGATACACTCTTCGGGCCCCCCAAAAGCCCTACTTGGAGCCCGGAAGGGCCCCTTTTCTGCAGCCCTCGCCGGGCCCCCACACGCGACGCCCAGCGTGCCTGCTTATCCGCAGCGCCGGCCCCCGATGCACTCGGGAGCCTCTGGGACCCCCCCCGTTGGGCCTCTGCCCAGGGTGCCCTGGACGCCCGTGGGGGTCTCCTCGAGGCTCCCTGGGGTCCTCCTCCTCCTCCTCCTCCTCCTCCTCCTCCTCCTCCTTCCCTCCTCCTCCTCCTCCCTCCTCCTCCTCTCCTCCTCCTCCGCCTTCTCCTCATCCTCCTCCTCCTCCTCCTCCCCTCCTCCTCCTCCTCCTCCTCCTACTCCTCCTCCTCCTCCTCCTCCTCCTCCTCCTCCTCCTCCTCCTCCTCCTCCTCCTCCCCCTCCTCCCCCCGGACCTGGCCCGCGGCCTGCTGCGCGTGGCGCCCCAGGGAGCCGCGGTGGGGACCTCGGCCACGCAGCGACGAAGCACCGCGGCGGAGGTCGGGGCATCGGGCCAGGCGCGAGGGCCGCCGTTGTCTCGAGCAGCCGCCCTCGGAGAGAAGCCGCAACAGTGAGTGCGTACACCCTGCGACATGCTTTAGAAATCATGGGTTAAGAAATTCATAGTCTCAGAATTTGAATAAAAACCCAACATGTCTATTCAAATCTTTGGATTTACATGGAAACATTAAGAATAATCGAGACTCTGGCCGAAAACTTGGGTGTTCTTAAGCATCGCCTAAGGTGTACATCGGGGTCCGCGGCCCCTGGAGGGCGCGAGTCTCGTCCAACGACCCAACGAGCTCTAAAGGGAAACTGTGCGTCAGACCTGGCAGGCAGCATACGCTCCGTGGCGACTGCGAGGGGTCCGCGCAGGCGAGCGGGTGGGGCCGAGAGCGGGGAGGAAAACGGGGAGGAGGCGACGGAGGGATCTACCGAATTCGTGCTGGCATCCTCGCTGTGCGAGATTTGCGCATCCGTCGCAGGAGGGCGGCTAATCAAACTGGCTTCGCCGCCGCGGTTCCTTGCGCTGTAGAAGCGCCGGATCATGGCACGGCACGAGTGGTGGTGGTTGTGATGACACGTACAGTATCATAAACATTGACGTTTGGAGGTCCGAGCGAGCTTCTTGTATCGGCACTGGACTCCCTCGGGCGCGCGGAGTGCGCGAGGGGCGGCGCCAGAGGCGCCGTCAGTGGGGCCGAACGCCGTTCCAAGGAACCTACGCGGAGCTCCTAAAAGGATCTATTTATGCAATTGGTTTTCGCGTAGAGGAGGAGGACCAGGAGAAAGAGGGAACGTGAGACTCCCGAAGGCGTGATTGCGACCCGGGCCAGCGCGCGAGCTGCAGAATTCCAGCTGCACATCGGCGCCGCCCGCCGCTCGGACGATCCGGAAATCGGCGCACAGGTGGCAGGCGCACTCTGGGACGGCGGGGTGGGTTCAGCTGATCATGCGGCACTTTATGCCCGCGAAGTCGACGTCGATAAGCTTCCTCATCAGCTTCAGAAACTCGGGAAAGTCGATCACATCTGAACATCGGCCGTACTTCGTGGCCATGACCTCCAGCCACGCCGAGCGGAACTCCTGCTTGAGCCTGTCGCCCATGGTGCAGATTCTCTCGAGGATCCCCTGAACTGCCAGATAATCTAACAAGTCCTGGTAGCCGATATCGCTCTCCACGAATATCCTGCGAAACTCGCGCACCTCGCCAGGGGTGAAACCGACGTTGGCGATCGCGGTCTGCTCCTTGGCGCACTTGTGCTGATCCTCCTGGTCCCGCCATATTCGCTTCAGCTGCAGGAAGTGCCTGAATGTCAAGACGTCGCGGCCCCTAGAAGGCTCGTAGCCAGGAAGCAGGCCGAGCACCTGCTTCCAGTCCACGGACTTGACCCCGTCCTTCGGGGCGAAGTGATTCGTGAGCAGGCGGGTCAGCCCGGAGCCAGCGACCATGTCCCTCTCGAGGCCATTGCCCGGCCCCCGGCAGCGGAGGAACGCGGCCTCCAGCTCCGCCACCTGCGCCGCCCGAACATGCGTACGTCAAGTTCGTGTCGTGCCGACTTCGGCGCTGGTTTCTGACACCGCGGGGATCGTTCAACCTTGAACGATCGGCCGTTTCCAAAGCGTCCAAATCGTTCCACATCGAACGATTCTGGGTCGCCCGCGGCGTTCAAAGTTGAACGCCGCTGGCGGGGTCGCCGCCGGTCGACACGACACGAACCTGCCGTACCCGTACCCGTACGCACCGCTTCGCAGCCGCGCCCCGTGCCCCCGAGGCGCGGTGGACATTGTGCACGCCTGCCCGCCCGCCGGGGCGGGCAGATCGTCCATACCTCTCCGGCACTCCTCGAGGTGCCAGGGCACGACTCCGAGGCGTCGGACGCGTGGCGGCCTCCCCGAGTGGGGTCCGAGCAGGTGGGGTCGAAGGATCGCGCCGCATCGCCGGTTCCTTGCGGATGCATTGCCGATGCATCGTCGCCATGGGCGATGCATCGGCGACGTCGGCGCGGAGAAGATCGAACTCCACATCGAGCCGCATGGGCGATGCATCGGCGATCCGGCGCGATCTTCGACGCCATCCACTCGGACCCGATTTGGGAGGATCTATCTCGGAGAGACGTGAGACTCGGGTCCGGGGGACTCGGGTTGGCCTGACGGGGCCATATGAGAATTGCGAGACCCAGTCTGAAGTTTGACGCGAGCTCCTGCTGCAGACATCCCACGAAAATCGGACCCTCAAAACCCAGAAATCGCTCGGCAAAATACGTCGGCAAACCCGACCTATTCGGCGTACTCCTCCTCCTCCTCCTCCTCCTCCTCCTCCTCCTTCTCCTCCTCCTCCTCCTCCTCCTCCTCCTCCTCCTCCTCCTCCTCCTCCTGCTCCTCCTCCTCCTCCGCGGAAGACCGCCTTGGCCGGGGAGAAGCCCTCGTTGTCCCGGCAGGTCCGCCGGGCCGCGTGGCGGAGGTCGCGCACCGCCGACACCAGCTGGAACACGTCGCAGACCTGCGACCTGTCGTGGAGCAGCAGCCCGTGCAGGACCTGGAGGGAGAGACATCAGCACACACAGAATTCTAGGTCGGGCGTGCCCTCCTACAGGCGGATATTGGGCGAAATATTAAACATACCACCAACATACAAACAAAGAAGTACAAATAGTAGAAACATCGTCCCCAGACTATTTCTTAAAATCATGTTAGAATATTACTCCTGTAGAGGGGCAGGCCCGACTTTAAACCTAATCCTTCGGAGCTCCGCACGGATCTCCTGGAGGGGGCCCAACGCCAATCCAAGCAGAACGCCAAAGATTGCACGATGCTGCGGAGACAGGGGTGCACTGACCCGGGCTTGCATGCCGCCTCCTGCAAGATTTGCAGGATCCTGCAAAGCCCGACTGACCTGGGTTTGGATTGACCCGGGTGAGTAGGTCCCCGGCCAAGAAACCTGCGCGCACCTCCGGGAAAGTATGTTCATGCCGTTTTCTTGTTGTTCAACTTCACGCTGGCCACTGAAAATTAGGCACCGCGCATGCAGCGGCATGCGTGTGTGTGTGTGTGTGTGTGTGTGTGTGTGTGTGTGTGTGTGTGTGTGTGTGTGTGTGTGTGTGTGTGTGTGTGTGTGTGTGTGTGTGTGTGTTCGTGTGAGTGTTGTGTGTGTGTGTCTGTATGTGTGTGTGTGTGCCTGGCTCGTCCGCTCCTTCCGAAGCAATAATCAAGGCCCCCCGACTCATGGAGCCCCAAGGGTGCTCATGTTTGTTACCGACTCCCTGCCTTGGTGGCTATCCCAGCAAACAACATATCCAAATACGCTATGAGTGGCACCCGGCTCCCATTCCACCTGCCCCCCCGCCGCCCCCCCCCCCCCGGGGCCCCTGCCCGGGCGCGGTGATAAAGGGAGGACGAAGACCCCCGCGTCCTCTCTCAGGGGAAGGGGACAGCACTTTTAGCTGCACGGTTTCCCCCGAGGCCGCAGGCGACCCGAGGAGGACGAGGAGGAGGAGGAGGAGGAGGAGGCGGAGGAGGAGGAGGAGGAGGAGGAGGAGGAGGAGGAGGAGGAGGAGGAGGGGAAGAGGAGGGAGATGGCGGAGTAGGTGGAGGAGGAGGGAGGGGGAGGGGGAAGAGGAGGAATAGGATGGGGGAGAAGGAGGAGATGGAGGGGTAGGTGGGGGGAGGAGGGGGAGGAGGAGGGGGAGGGGGAGGGGGAGGGAGAGGGGGAGGAGGAAAATGAGGAGGAGGAGGAGGGGGGAGGAGGAGGAGGATGAGGAGGGGGGAGGAGGAGGAGGCGGGGGTAGGAGGAGGAGGAGGAGGAGGAGGAGGAGGAGGAGGAGGACGACGACGGGTCGCCTAAGCCTTTCGGAAGAACCCTGCACTCGTAGCGGCGCGCCGATTTCCGCTGCTGGCTCGCCTGGGACCGCGGATCGTCTAGGAACCAACACCGGCACAACCATCAGCTGTCGGAGCTCCGCGCGGATGTCTTGGATCGGCGTTGGAGTCACTGCCGGCGCCTGTGGCGCCGCCCCTGGTGCTCTCCGCATGCCAAGTGTCAGGAGAGGCTTAGTCCAGATGGAGGAAGCAATGATGGAGACCGAGCGCTCCGCATGGTCTTACTCCGTATGGACTAGGTCTCCTATCGGGAAAGGCTAAGTCCAGACAGGGCAAGCCCAGACGGAGACCGAACGCTCCGTATGGACTTGCTACGCCTGGACTTCTCAGATGGTTCCCGAACGCTCTGAAAGGCGTTCCGGAACGCTCTGGAACGGATCTATCTTTAGGTTGGGCATGCCCCCCTACAGGCGGATTGTGGACGAAAAATGATTAAAACCTCAAAATGCTCAAACATAGCCAAACATGGTAAAACAAAATCGTCCCCCGACTAGTTTTTTACAATTTTTGAATATTCCTCCTGCAGCAGGGCACGCCCGACTCAAAGCTATCTTGGTCCGACACGCGGACCTCCTGTAGCTGATGCCCGTGCCGTGTCTTTCTCTCGGCGGTGGACACACTTCCCTTCAGCAAACCACCCTTCAATGAGAAACGGCCTAAGGCCGACACCGACGGACCAGGACCGCGTCAGGGTTAGGAGGTCTGTCCACCCCCGCTGTGTCTTTCGCGCGCGCCTCCGTGCGCTCGCCCTCGCCGAAGCCGAGCGCCGCCAGCAGCTTATCGGCCAGCGCCGCCGACACGTCGGCCTTCTGAGCATTTTCTCTCAGGGTGGAGGGCTCGGGGTGACTCGAAAAGCCATCCGTCTTGTGACCCGCCTTCTGCAGACTCAAGCCTCGAAGATCAACCGAAGCAGCGTTTCAGATTTCACCCTCTGCCCTCCACCTGAAGAAAATGCTCGGGCCTTGAAGTCCCCGTCCGGCACGCCGAGGAGGGACAGCTGCAGCTGCAGCTCCTGTAAGACGAAGCCAGGACGAGGATGAACGACATCGGGCGAAGATGGATCGGGAATCTCCGAGAACTGGAAGCTCTGGAAGATCTCTCGGGCGCCGCGGCCTTCAGAGCGTTCCGGAACGCTCTGAGCGCGTTCCGGAACGCCCTGGAACGGATTGACCCTCGTCCTAGCCCCGTCTGATCCTTGATCTCGCGCTCGTTGTACATGCGGACCAACTTATTGAACTCTTGACAATCGATGCGGCCAGACAGGTCAAGGTCGACGTCGCCCGTGATCTGCATGAACAGCTCGTACGAGGAGTCCCACCCAAGCCAGCGCAGGGCCTTCGGAGTGGGAAGCGTGCAATCACGCAGTATGGCATGAACGTTCGAAGGCCCGCGCGGAATTCCGTGGTCGGTGCTGGACCCCCCTTCCTGGGTTCGCCAGGAGTGCCCAGCACAAGCTCAAGAGAGCCGCGCGGACCTGTGACGGCCTACGTTTACAGTAGATGCACACGTGCTCGGTCGCTGCTTGCCCTCGCGAGATGCCCTGAGAACTCCAGCGGGCGTCTGGTGACGTCGGGGAGCAAGAAATGTCCGTGGGGCGCCGGCTGACAGGCTCTGGGGGAGTAGAAGGCCAATTCCTTATCCGATGCGCCTGCTGTATCAACGTCGTTTCCTTTGGAGGCGGCCCAGAGGAGAACATCGGGCACGAGGGGCGGATGGGGCGAAGTCCGCTCAAGATCGGCCCCTAGACCCGTGCCGCGGTCCATGGTGTGAAGTTTTTCGCCCCGCATCTGCTTCTGACAGTCCTCGGACCTGAACAAGGCCCCCAGGAGTGGAAACAGGTAGAACACCCTCCCGAACCCTCCTCCTCCTCCTCCTCCTCCTCCTCCTCCTCCTCCTCCTCCTCCTAGTCTCCCACTCCTCCTCCTCCTACCATCCTCCCTTCCCTCCTCCTCCTCCCTCCTCCTCCTCCTCTCCATCCTCCCATCCCTCCCTCCTCCCTCCCTACCCTCCCTCCCTCCCCACCTCCCTCCCTTCCCTCCCTTCCCTCCATCCTCCTCCCTCACTCCTCCGCCTCCCCCTCCTCCTCCTCCTTCCCTCCCTCCTCCCTCCCTCCCTCCCTCCTCCTCCTCCTCCCTCCTCCTTCCTTCCTCCTCTCCCCTACTCCTCCTCCTCCTCTCCTACTCCTCCTCCTCATCCTCCTCCCCCTCCGCTCCGCCTCCGCTCCGCATCCGCCTCCCCTCCGCCTCCGCATCCGCCACCGCCTCCGCCTCGCCCTCTCCTCCCCTCCTCCTCTCTCCTCTCCTCTCCTCCCCTCCTCCTCCCTCCTCCTCCCTCCTCCTCCTCTCACTCCTCCTCCCCCTCCCCTCCTCCTCCTTCCTCCTCCTCCTCTCCTCCTCCTCCTCCTCTCCTCCGCCTTCCTCTCCTCTTCCGCCTCGCTCCGCCTCCGCTCCGCCTCCGCCTCCGCCCTCCGCCTCCGCCTCCTCCTCCGCCTCCGCCTCCGCCTCCGCCTCAGCCTCCGCCTCCTCCTCTGCATCTCCTCGTCATCCGCCTCCCTCCTCCTCCTCCTCCTCCTCCTACTTCCACCTTCATCAGCACTCCTCCATCCTCCTCCTCCTCCTCCTTCCGCCTCTCCCGCCTCCTCCGCCTCCGCCTCCGCCTCCGCCTCTCCTCCTCTCCTCGCTCGCCTCCGCCTCCGCCCCTCCGCCTCTCCTTCCTCCTCTCCTCTTCCTCTGCCCCTCCTCCTCTCCCTCTCCTCTCTCCTCCTCTCCTCCTCCTCCTCCTCCTCCTCCTCCTACTCCTCCTCCTCCTCCTCCTCCTCCTCCTTCCCCTCCTCCTCCTCCTCCTCCTCCTCCTCCTCCTCCTCCTCCTCCTCCTCCCCCCTCGGACCTCGCTCCCACTTCCTGCTGGCCAGGATCCAAGCTGCATCGCAGCCTTTATCCTCCCCAGGCCTTGCCGCAGGTGTCCACGTCGATCTGCGCGCCCGCCTGTGGGGTGGCGGCATCCGCGCCCTAACCCCCCACCAGCCATCGACTGTCCTGGATCGATGGGAGGCGGGGGCGGGGTTCGGATTCTGCACCGTGTTCGACGAACTCCGATCCCTAGTCCCGCCGCCCATTGAATTGCCCGAGTCGTTGATCGGCGAGGGCAGGGTTCGGCGACTCCGAAGGGAGCGGTTTGCAAAGGGTGTGGTTTGCAACTGGCACCCTGGGGGGCAGGCGAGGACCTCGACAGTGTCATCCGCCGCGCCCCGAGGAGGCCCGACGAGGACAGTGCCGTGCTCTCCAGGCCCCAACCGTGCCGATCGCAAACCACACCCCGGCGTACGGCAAGTTCATGTCGTGACGACCCCAACGCAAGTTACTGACACCGTGGGGTTCGTTCAATCTTGAAAAATGGGTCACTGCACCGACTTTGCAGACGTGCTGCAGAAGATTTGTGCATAGATTTCTGCCAATGCAAGACCCCAAAACGGCGAGCGAAAAACTAAGTAAACTTCACGTGGATGTTTTGTAGACTTCATTCCTGGTGAACAAGAATCCTTCACGAAATTCACTTCGAACTCCGGAACGAAACTCTCCAAAGCAACTTGGGCCCATCCCATTGCTTGCCGAGCGAAATCCGCTCTGCGATGTTGGGCGCCGTGACCATCGGCCGTCTCCGAAACGTCAGCTCGTTCAGCATCGACCGACCCCGGCTCGCCGGCAGCGGTCGACCTTGCATGCCCACGCTGGGGTCGCAGGCGGTCGACACGACGCGACCGCAAGGACGCGCGAGAAGCGTGCAGGGACCTCGGAAGGCCATGTCGCCACGTTGCGAGCGGGGCGCGGCCAGCGAAAGCGGCCGAGGACGAGCCGCAGGGGTGGGGTGCAAGGGTTCCCGTCGTTCATTTCTACTCGTGCTCATTTCAAACTGCGCTCGTTTCTACTTGCTCTTGACCCCCTAATGGCCAGGAAGAGGCCCAGGATAGAACAATTAGAAATGGCAGGATCTTGGCCCCCCAAGAAAAACCGTCGATCCGGCTTGTGAGTTTCTGAGAGCGTGGACTTGAGCTCGCTCAAGCTTCGCTCTGCAGGGGAGGGGGGGGTACGTTATTTCCGATGTCATTTCCGACGTTTTTCGTCACACGGGGATATTTCCGACGTCATTTCCGAAGTTTTTCGGTACCCGGGGACAGGGGGGTATAGAAAACTCCACTTCCGGAGCTCCCCCCGGATCGGCGGCACTGGCCAGAGGCCAGCCCAATCAAAGAACTCTCGAAGCACTAGACATGAGCAGTGTGTAACCCTGGAAACATGCCCATCCCTGCTATGCGGGCTGGCTGTACAGCGCCCATCCCCTTTGCAGTCGCCGAAGGGGCCAGGCTTCGCCCGCCGCTGGCCTGGGCCCCCGCGCCCGCGCGCCCACTCCGCGCGCTGCTCCTTCCAGGGCTGAACCTGGACGGTGTTCTTCGTTCTTTCGTCCTGCTTTCGTTGTCCCTCGTCTTGTCTTCCATCCGCCTTTTCACGCAGAACGGCATCGAGACGAAAACGGCCCACGACATCGCCCCCAATTTTCGCTTTCGTTCTGTTTTCGTTGTCCCTTGTTTTGTCTCCAATCCGCCTTTTCACGCAGAACGACATCGAAACGAATACGGCCCACGACATCGCCCCCCAAAAACACCGTCCATGTCCACCCCTGGCTCCTTCGCCTCGAGGCCCTCGAGGCCCACGCCCAGGGCCGCCGCGGCTCCGACCTCTGCGGCAGGGCTCCGCGCTGCCGTCTCGGGGGCGCCCAAGAGGGGGGTGCCCACGAGGGGGGCTCGCCTCGCCATCGCTCGGACGTCCACTCCCTGTGCTTTTTTCGGCTTCGTGCGTGGCTTTTTCGCCATATGATCAAGGATGCTCCTCGATGGTCCTCGCCGAAGGAAAAATGCACACGTCCGAGCGATGCCAAGTCGCTCATCGTGGCCCGAGGCACGTGCGCGGCCCAGGGGGGGGGGGACCACCCAGGGCACGCGCCGAAATCAGAAGAGGGGCGCCATGCAACCTGGGGAACTGTCATAGCCGCCGCCATGACATCTCCCCCCCCCCCCAGTCACCACCCCCCTCTTGGCCGCCCCGGACAGTCGCGCCGCGAACAACAAGAAGACATGGATCTGACCGGAAGCGTATCGGATCGCGCCTGGATTCGTTGCGTGCCCAGACCCCCTCGCGCCGTGAAAAAGTCGCGACGGGAGGTCTTCCGCTCTTGTCGGCCTCTTGGGGCCCTCACCGGACCTTGGGACCGTCAAAAACGAATTTGGATTAGAAGCCGGTCCTGGGAAATGGGTCGAGACCTTTGGGGTCGACGTTATGGAAAACACATGACGTTTGGGGTCTGGGTAACTTTCGTCATTTTCGACCCCAAGCCAAGAAACTCTCTGGCAACTCTCTCTCTCTCTCTCTTTCTGTTGCTACGTAGACGGTTGATTACGAGCCGCATCTACATCGTAGAGCGGGGGGGAGGGCTCGGAAGGGGCATTCCGTTCCTCAACAAAAACCTTGCCCCGATTTGTGGCCGCCGCGATCGCCGCGGCGACCTCCAAAACCGACTCTAAGGTTTGGCTCGGGGTCGGATCGCATCTGAACGAAGAGCAGCACCCACACAGAACTCTCTTCGAAGCTCCGCCCGGACTTCTCGGATCGGCGCTGGGCCCCCCTGGCGGCGCCGCCACGGACGCACTCCACACGCCAGGGAAGGGGCGTCCCGGATCCAAGACATCCGCGTGAGCCTCCGAAAACGTGTCGTGCGCTTGTTTCTCCGTCTAGACTCGGCGCCCGCAGGCCAGAGCGGGAGTCGGCTCGTGCTGGAGCGGATCGCATCGGCATCGGGGTCTATAGAAGTCTGGGGGTGGGATCGGATCGGAGGGCGTGTGCGCCGCCCGGGGAAGCGATGTCCAAGAACCCGTATGGGGGCGGCGGACAGGAATGCACCTGGGCCCCCCGGGCGGCCCGAATGTGTGTATATATACACACATTTATATATTTAGATACATAGAGAGAGAGAGAGAGAGAGAGAGAGAGTCACCGCCTCTCGAGGCCCACGAAGATCGGCTCCCGGGTTGCGGGTATCTCAACCTCGGGCCCAGACCACCGACGCGGTGCGTTTCTCACAGCACAGGAGCCCAGGGAGCGCCCCCGAACTCTCGACCCTTTTTCCCCGGGACCCGGCTTCCATCCTGCGTCGTCTCTTGGCAGTCCTGGGGCCTGGCGACGGGCACCCAGCGGCAGAAGGGAGCGACGGAGAGGGCCCCGAGGCTTCCAGGGCTCGGGCCTCACGCTGCTCACGTCGGAGTCGCACCCGCTGGCCGCGTCGGACAGACGCTGGCCGAGCACGTCGCCGGGGCCCGATGTCGTCGCCGCCGCCGCCTGCGCCGAGCGGGGAGCTGAAGGGGCCCTGGTGCTCCAGGGGGGCGAAGCCAGGGCAGGAGGACCTCGACACCCGACTCCCAGTCGAGGCTTTCAGCCGTCCATCTGAAATATAAGAAACCAGTTGAGTCAGGAGGCGGGCGGTCTGGGGGGCCTGATGTCCAAGTCTATCAATATGAATCTCTGGTCCGTGGGCAGGCGGGTCCATATGAATCTGTATACTGAGTTAGCAACGGCAATGGTCGGGTAGGGTGATGGGGGCGGACAGGAGGGATGATCGGGGCGGACAAATCCACAAATCCGACGATATGCTTTTTCCACAGACAACTTGCTGAACGGGGTAATGTTGTTGATCGAACCTAATTCCACTTGTGGGACGGGCGCGCAGAGAGATTCTCGAGAAAACTCAATGGTCTGGGCCGTTTCGCCTGAGACGTCCTCACAACTCTCGTGCCTGAGTTGGCTGGGATTGGGCGTTTCGCCCGAGACGTCCTCACAACTCTGGGTTCTGAGAATGTGTGCGCGAGGTGGTTCAGCTCGCCTCTCTTAAGCCATTGGGCTTTGAGAATACATGCGCAAGACGATCTGGGCTGTTTCGCTTGAGACATACTCGCCACTCTGGGCTCCCAAATGTCGCGCGCGAGGCGCTCCAGCCAGTTTCGCCTGAGATATCCTCGCAACTCTAGGCTCCATGACGCTGCGCGCGAGGCGACCCAGCCCGTTTCGCCTAAGACAACTTACAACTCTGGGCTCCAAGACGCCGCGCGCGAGGTGGTCTGGCGCGTTTCGCCCAAGACATCCTCGTAAGTCGGATCTCCGAGTTGCAACTCGCGAGGCGGTCCAGCCCGCTTCGCCTGAGACATCCACACAACTCTGAATTCCAAAACGCCGCGCGCGAGGGTGTCCTGCCCTTTTCGCTTGAGACATCCTCGCAACTCTGGGCTCCGAGATGCTGCGCGCGAGGCGGTCCAGCCCGTGTCGCTTGAGACAGCCTCCCAATTCTGGTCTCGGAGATGCCGCGCGAAAGGTGCTCACGCTCGTTTCGTTGGAGACATCCACGCAATTATGAATTCCGACATGCTGCGCGCGAGGTGGTCTGGCCTGTTTGTCCTAAAGTATGATTGCCACTCTGGGCTCCAAGACGCCGCGCGCGAGGTGGTCTGGCGCGTTTTGCCTGAGACTTCCTTTCAATTCTGGGATCCGAGATGCTGCGCGCGAGGTGGTCTAGCCCGTTTCAGTTAAGATATCCTCGCATCTCTGGGCGTTGAAATGCCGCGCGCGTGGTGGTCTGGCCCATTTCGACCGAGATTTCCTCGCAACTCTGGGTTCTGAGAATATGTGCGCGAGGTGGTCCAGCTCGCTTCTCTTAAGCCTTTAGGCTTTGAGAAAATATGCGCAAGGCGATCTGGGCTGTTTCGCTTGAGACATACTCGCCACTCTGGGCTCCCAAATGTCGCGCGCGAGGCGCTCCAGCCAGTTTCGCCTGAGATATCCTCGCAACTCTAGGCTCCATGACGCTGCGCGCGAGGCGGCCCAGCCCGTTTCGCCTGAGACACCTTACAACTCTGGGCTCCAAGACGCCGCGCGCGAGGTGGTCTGGCGCGTTTCGCCAGTGCTTTCCGCACAACTCTGAGCTTCGAGATGCCACGCAAGAGGTGCTCCTGCGCGCTTCGCCTGAAACATCCTCGCCAGTCTGATCTCCGAGACGCTGCGCGCGAGGTGGTCCACGCCAGTTTCGCCCGAGATGTCATCACAACTCTGGGCTGGCAGCTGTCGCCCGCGAGGCGGTCAGGCGCGCTGCGCCGGAGCCATCCACCAAACTCGGTGCTCCACGACGCCGCGCGAGAGGTGGTCTCCCGCGCTTCGCCCGAGACGTCCTCGCAACGATGGGCTCCGAGGGGGAGGAGAGAGGAGGGAGGAGGGAGAAGGGGGCAGACCCAAGCGAAGCATTTGATTCGGTCGAATTGTGTTCTGGGGGCAGGGTCTGGTCGCCCCTTCGACTAGGAGGAGGTGGCCCGCGCCGAGGCGCGAGCACGATCCCTGGGCAAATTGCAGGGGCTGCTCGGGGGGGGGGGGGGCACGCTTGATCAACTGGTGGAAATCGTTGAGATGCCTCGGGCAAGAGCGCGGTGAGCAGGGAGGAGGCAGGATGGGGGAGGAGAAGCGGAGGAGGAAAAGGGAGACATGGAGGAGGGAGATGGGGCCAGGAGGGACGAGGAGGAGGAATCAAAGGAGGCCGAGAGGAGGAGCAGGGACAACGAGGAGAAGGAGAAGGAGGAGGAGGAGGACGAGAAGGAAACGGACGGGGAGGACAAGAAGGACGAGGAAGAGGAATGCGATGACGAGGTGGAGGAGCAGGAGGAGCAGCACTGCGAGGAGAAGGAAAAGGAACACTGCGAAGAGGAGGAGGAGAAGGACGACGACGACGAGCAACATGAGGAGCGGAAGGAATACAAGCAGGAGCACGGCAGCCAGGATGAGGAGCACGAAGAACAATAGAACGAGAAGTGTGATAATGAGGTAGAGGATGAGGATGATGATGAGGAGGAACGAAACGAAGAAGAATAGCACCAGGAATGTCAGGAGGATTCGTATGAGGAGGGGGACAGCGAGGAGGAGTGAGACGAGGAAATGAGAAGCTACATGAAGAGGAGGAGGAGGAGGAGGAGGAGGAGGGCGAGGAGGAGCGAGAGGAAGAGAGATGGAGAGGGATGAGAAGGAGGAGGAGGAGGAGGAGGAGGAGGAGGAGGAGGAGGAGGGGGTGCAGTGGAAGGGGAAGGCGAGGGCGAGAAGGATAATCATGTGGATGCAGACGAGGAAGGGGAGGACGATGACGACGACGGTGACGAACAGCTAGGCGACGACGCCGAAGGCGCAGGCGAATCAGGAGCAGGAGGACGCGCGAACACTCTGAGGAACCACCGTGGCTAGAAAAGCGCTGCTCGGGGGTACTGGACTCTGGCTATGATCTCAATCCCGGCATTCTTCCTCGTTCGGCCCTCGGAAGCGTTTTCGGGCCCCCAAAGCGTCGGAAATGGACCCGGGGACGGACCAGACCCCTGGGAAAGGGGTTAGGAACTCCTGGGCCGCGGACTGAACATAATCATATCATAGCAGTGGATGCCTGGGTAAGTCACGGACGACGAGCGGTGCAGAATACGCCTCTCCGCCGTCGGGGGCGCCTGTCCCAGGGCGGCTGGGAAGGTCACGGCCTTAGTGGGCCCTGGAAACGACAGGGCCGTTTTTTTACCGGTTCTGTTGTGCCGTTTTTTTTGCCGGTTCCGACGCCGTTTTTTTACCGGTTCCGTCGCCGTTGTTTGACCGGTTCCGGCTCCCCTTCCAACCCTGGAGCAATTTAGTGTCCCGTTTCTGGTCGCCGTTTTTGTGCCGTTTCCATTTTCGAGGGACATTTTTTTGGAAACGGTTCAAAAAACGGCCCTGCCGTTTCCGGGGCCCGCAAAGGTCGCGGCCAGGAAGGCTTGCTCAGCGTATCGCGCCACCAGTCCTGGCCCACCGCGCGGCTTGAAGACATCACTGCGGGCAATAGTTATATCCACATCCAGTGCGTCTTGGACTCTTGGGCTCTCTTCCCCAGAAGCCGCAGACGCACTGGAGATGGATAAAAGTCTGGCCCCGAGAGGCTTGGTTTTGTCCATATCCAGTGCGCCTCGGCGTGGCGGCGCCTCTTCCCGAAAAGTCCACGACGCTCTGGACATGGATATAAAAGCACTGCCCGCACTCACCCCGGCGGCTGCGAGAGGACCCGGGGCGTCTTCGCGCCGTGGGGCTCCGGGCGTGCTCTCTCTCGCCCCGGGGCGCTCTCCTGCAGCAGGCACCCCGCCGAGAGCGCTCCCCGGGCCGCCCCATACTCTTCCCGAGGGGGGGCCGGAGGCCCGACCGACTGCCTACCAGACCACCCCAACCCAACCCGAAGACCCGAATTTCGGGTTGGGGGGGGGGAAGGGTTCCACATGTGTTTTTGTTCGATGCTTCCCCACAGCCCCCCCCCACTGGGAACTCGAGGGTCAATCTGCGCCTTCGGGTTGGGTCGGGGTGGGGTGGTTCGGTGGGTGGTGACCAGCAGCCTCGCGCCGTGGGGAACACGTCGCAGCGGGAGCTTCTCTGCGGTCTGCGGCCCGTGGGGCCCCCTGCCCGGCCAGTCCCTGGGACCTCTTGGGGCGCCACGGCGTGGGAGCAGCAGGAGGGTCGGATGCCTGGCAAGAGGGGCGGATATCGGGAGCGGCCAAGAGGGGGGTGTCCAAGAGGGGGGGGTGCAAATCATGACCGGCGGCATGTGCGCGGCCCAGCGGGGGGGCCAGGGACGTAATGAAATAAGAAGAGGCGCCATGAAATCTGGGGAAATATCATGGCCCCCGCCATGATATCCCCCCCCCCTAGTCATCACCCCCCTCTTTTCCGCCCCCGAGGATAGCAACGGGAGGGTCAGCGTATGCGCTGGTTTCTCGGGTGCCTCCCGCGGTGCTGGCGGCGACGGTGTGTATGAAGGGAGGGGCGTGGCGGCGAGGCCGCAGCCAGCGGCATGCAGCAGATGTCGTACCCCCCCTATCCTAATCCCCAATCCCGATCCCAATCTTCACCTGGCCTCAGGTCGGGCGTGTCCCCCTACAGGGGGATGTTGGACGAAACATAAAAAGTACCCCCCAAAAAATACAAGGGGATTATGGTAAGTAAAAAAAGTCCCCAGACCCAGACTCTTTGTAGAGGGACAGGCCCGACTTACATCTGGCCCGCAAGGGGGAGAAAGCAAGCATTGGCTCCGAATAGAAAGTGGGCAGGGAGGGCTTCGAATAGAAATGGGCAGGGAGGGCTTCACAGCTTCACTGGAAACCATTGGTCTCTACTGGACTCCAGCGGCCTCCATTGGTCTCCATAATTAAGACTTCATTTAGGGAGAGGTAAAGAAAAAGAAACCAACAGGTACCCATACCGCTACTGTCTGGACATCTCCCAGGGTACGCTCTGACCATCAAATCGGACGAATCCAGCGGTAGCGACGAGGGACTTCCAGGAGGTCCCCAAAACGGACAACGAGGGACGGGAGAGGTCAAGTCAGGTCAAGACCGCGCAAGAGGGCATCGAGCCGACACCCGCGCATCAGGAGAGGCAATATCCAGACGGGGGAATTCCAAACGGAGGCAGAGCACTCCGTATGGACTCACTCCGAAAGGGCTTTGCCTTCGGCCTTCGGCGAGCCCAAGTGCGCACAGCGGAAAGGACACGTGCGTGTGTGTGTGTGTATGTGTGTGCGTGTGTGCTCTGCCTCTTCGTCCTTTGTCCATCGTCTTCACGCCGGCCTGCGCTTGCCGCGCTTGTGCAACGCTCTCGTCGCAGCCTGCGCTCCGCCCTTCACGCCTCCCGCCGCGCCTCGTAGGTCACCAAATCTCGGCGCTTCGCCCCACCGCTGGTCGAACACATCAAAAACTACACTTAGCAAAACTCCACCCAGTTGCGGGGACCAGGGGGGGCAATCAAAATTCGGCTAGGCGCACTGGTCGGTCTGGGTGGACGGGCACCGCCTCGCGACCTACGACGGGGAGCGCTGGTCATGCGAAACACGTGGGGCGCCAAGCGTTGCAACTATCAGCGTGTTTTACGGCGGGGCTAAGCGGCTGCTGCAACAGGAAATGATAACGCGAACTGCCGCTTCATCCGTGGAGGGGGGATCCAGCACGGAAAAGAATGCGAAGGCGTGGGGCGTCTGGCCAGGCACTTACTTACGGCACGCATAGAACCGATCGCGGCTACAAAACTTGGCGAGACACGGGGATGAGGTGGAAGTGGAAGGACATAATGAAAGAAGCTGCTAAGGCACGGAGACACGAGACGAGGGAGGAGATCACGCCTGAGGCAAAGCGGCGCCCCAAAGCACAGAAAACACTGGGGTCATCATACTGGGGCAGAGGCGGGGAAGGGCAGCGGGCAGTGCGAGGCGGAAAAGGACAGCGGCCATGCAGGTGGTTTCGCTGAGCCCGAGGAAAGGGGAAGTCGGCGGGGAGCGGCCCTGGGGACGTGGCCTCGGAGATGGGCAGCACGGGCAGCCGATGCTTCGCCAAAAGGGGACACGTACAGAACTACACTTAGCGGGCGGGGCACGGTACACGTCGGGAGCGCGAGTCGCGCCCCCGACATGTACCCCGCCCCGCTGGCTAGGTGTAGTTATATGAGTGCTCTGTTTTGTGAGGATGTCCCTGGCGAAACCAGCACGTACAGAACTACACCTAGCGCCTGGCTAAGTGTAGTTCTGAACGTGCTGGATGTCTCGAGCGGGGCGAGCACGTATAGACCGGCACCTAGCGAAAGTGGCAGGGTACAGGTCGGGGGCGTCGCCGCGCCTCCCCGCAGAGTCAGGAGGGCAGGGGCCACTGAAATCCCAGCCGCCCTCAGGGCGGCGGAGGCTGGACGTCCCAGGGATGCCCGAAAGGGACCCAACTGCGGCCAAGGGCACGCAACGAGGTCCCTGGGGGCCCCAAGAGCGCTCCACGACCTCCAGCCGCAATCTGAGGTCGTAGCGTCTTGGGGGTCTCCTGGAGCGCTTGGCGGGGTCTTGGATTCTTCCTGGGGCGCTCGGGAGGTCCCAGGAGCGCACCTGCTCGCCACGACGTCTGGTCTCGATCTGGAGGTCGTGGCGTCTGGGGCCCCCGTGGGCGTTTTGGGGGCACTGGGGGTTCCTCCTGTAGCCCATCATGGGTCCCACGAGCGCTGGTGGTCGCTACGACCTCTGACCTTGTTCTGGATCCCTCCATCCTCTTTGCCCCCCCCCGTGATCAGGGCAACTCGCCTGGTGACGATGTTTCGAGGATTTAAAAAAGATATGCGCGCTCCGCCTCCGCCTCCTAATCGCGAGTTGTTATTTCTGATTCCACGCCGACTCTGGCTAGCGACGTCGAGGCCCTCGCAAATCCGACAAACGCGATGACCCCCCTCGAATGGCGGGCAAAACAAACTTTGGAACGATAACCCAAAATTAATTTTGAAATTTCGGGATCCGCGAGAGAAACTAATCCACTCGCCCAAAGTGTAGCTCTCTATATGTCCGAGCTGGGTTCGCCTGCTCAGCCGGCTCCCCCCTTGGTGTGGTGACCGCATCAACATGTGCTGCTCCGCCTTCTGGCTTTGACCGGCCGCCGCTGGGCTGCCGTCCTTCCCACCCCCAGCTGCTGCCCGGCGCCGCGGCTGTTCCCCCCCCTCGGCGCTCCCACCGCCGCAGCCAGTAACTTGCCTGAGCGGGCCTGGCTTCCCTTTTTCCTGTCGCGCCGGGGTCTCCCCACGTGCATCGCGGCCCAATTTGCATCTAGCGCGCCCCACTGATGCCCGATCGCCGGAGCAGTTACCCTCTGCCCAGCCGCCGACGCAAAAGAGTGTGTGTGTGTGTGTGTGTGTGTGTGCGTGTGTGTGTGTGTGTGTGTGTGTGTGCGTCCGTGCGCGTGCGTGCGTGCGTGCGTGCGTGCGTGCGTGCGTGCGTGCGTGCGTGCGTGCGCGCGTGTGTGTGTGTGTGTGTGTGAGAGCTGGCCCCGAGAGGCTCGACCTCTATCCGCACCCAGTGCGCCTCGGTCTTGCGGCGCCCCTCCCACAAAAGTCCAGGACGCACTGGATATGGATATACAATATTTGGGGAAGCCAAAAGGTACCGATACCGCTACCCCCCCCCCCGCCTCTCCCGGGGCGCGTCGTTCTGACCAGGATTTCGAGGCGAATCCAGCGGTGGCGACGAGAGCCTCCGAGGAGGCCCAAGAGGAAAACGGGCGAAGAGTAGAGGTACGAATGCCTTCCTCCTCCGAACATTGCTCGCAGAGCCCCTTCACCGAGCCCAGGCCGGTCCTTCTTTCAGCGTGGAGAGGCCCAGCGCAAGAGCTAGGTCGGGCATGTCCTCCTACAAGCGGATTTCGGAGGAAAGATAACAAATACCCCACAAATGCCCCAACATTCCAAAAAATGATACAGAAAAATCGTCTCCAGACTAACTTTTAACTATTTTTGAATATTCCTCTAGGGACGTGCCCGACTTCGCGCAAGAGGGAGCCGCAAGGCCTGCTGGCGGCCGAGGAAAAGGTCGAAGGCCTGGCGGTTGTCCTCCAGCTGCCCCTGGCGCGCGGAGGCGCGCGGCTTCCCCTGGGGCCGTAGGCGACCCGAGCAGGAGGAGGAGGAGATGGAGGAAAAGGAGGAGGAGGAGGAGGGGGTGGAGGAGGAGGAGGAGGAGGAGGAGGAGGAGGAGGGGGTGGAGGAGGAGGAGGAGGAGGAGCAGGGGAAGGAGGAGATGGAGGAGGAGGAGGACGAGGAGGAGGAGGAGGAGGACCAGTGGAAACCCAAGAGTCATCAACGATGTTGGAATTAACCCTCCCTCCACGCTCCCTCTTCATAGGCGCCTACAACGGTTCATTTCCTTTGAGGGAAGACAACAGTTTCAAGATCCTGAAGCGTGCCGAAACATTGTTCTCGGGATTCGAACGCCACGTATGAACCTGACTGCTGCAACTTGACGATCCAGAATCGAGCCAGAACGCCGTTTCTGACTTCAACACAGCAAATCAACGTAACCGTTGCGCCCGCATAATCCTCAACCCTTCCAGAACACAGTTTCTGGTGCGCTGTTCATGGAAACCATTAAAACTCTTGCAAATGTGAAACAGGAATGCGCGCGGCGCTAAAGTCAAAGCCACATTTTGGAAAGGAACCGTCCTCAATCTCTGAAGCTCTCGCAAAGGTTGAAAGTTAATGTGCGCGGCTCCGGGGCGGGAGCCACATTTTGAAAACCACCCGCCCTCAATCCGTGAAACTCTTGCAAATGTTTAAAACGAATGTGCGCGGCGCCAAGGCGAGAGCCACATGTTGAAAGCCACCCGCCATCAATCCGTGAAACTCTTGCAAATAGCGAGAAGGAATGTGCGCGGCGCTCGAGCGCCACATTTTGAAAACCACCCGCCCTCAATCCGCGAAGCTCTTGCGAATGTTTGAAACGAATGGGCGCGGCGTTAAGGCGAGAGCCACATGTTTAAAACGGCCCGCCCTCCATCTGTGAAACTGCTGTCACTTTTTAAGCTTCAGAAAATCCATGGTCAAAAAGTCTCAGGCGAAACGCCCGGCCCGCCCTAAAAACTGGCCTCGGGGTGCGACAGGGAGGAGTCATCTATAAGGAGAAGGGATGGAGGAGGAGATGGAAATGGAGATGGAGATGGAGATGGAGGACGAGGGGGAGGAGCAGGAGGAGGAGGAGGAAGAGGAGGAGGAAGAGGAGGAGGAGGAGATCGAGGAGGAGGAGGAGGAGGAGGAGGAGGAGGAGAGGGAGGAGGCGGAGAGGAGGAGGAGGAGAGGGAAGAGGAGGAGGAGGAGGAGGAGGAGGAGGAGGAGATCGAGGAGGAGGAGGAGGGAGGAGGGAGGAGGGAGGGAGGAGGGAGGAGGAGGAGGGAGGAGGGAGGAGGGAGGAGAGGAGGAGGGAGGAGGAGGAGGAGGAGGAGGAGGAGGAGGAGGAGGAGGAGGAGGAGGAGTAGGACGTGTCGCCGAAGCCCTTCGGAGAAACCCTCCACGCGGAGGCCGTGCGCGGCGACGGCGAGGACGACGACGACGGCGAAGGCGACGGCGGCGGCGGCGGCGACGACGACGACGACGACGCGCACGACGACGGCGACGACGGCGGCGGCGACGACGGCGGCGGCGGCGACGTTGACGACGGCGACGACGGCGGCGGCGTCAACGGCGGCGGCGGCGACGACGACGACGACGACCCATGAGCATCGTGTCGCCGAGCCTCGTCCCCGCTGGCGTGCCCTGGGCCGCACTGGCCGATGCCTCGAGGTCCCCCAAATCTTACATGGGGGTAGTTGCGTGCTGCTCCCTCCTGGCTTCGCGCGGCCTGTTCCCAACCGGGGTGGTGGGGCTGAAGTGCCTTGGCCCGCTGGGGATGGTGATAACTACACCCATCAACAATCTCAAAAAAAACATGAATTCCCATGGGCTTCAGATTTCGATGAAGAAGATCCAGAATCCAGACTGGACCTTGGGCGCCTTCTTGGAGCCTTTTTCTTTCGTAGACCTTTCGTGCGTCCAGACCTGGACTACTGGTCGAGAAAACGCTTCAAGCGACGCCACTCCCTCAGCCTGGAACTTCCTTCCCTCCGGAACCAGACGGTGTCTTGGACAACCTCGAGACGGTGTCTTGCCCGCGGGGTGCGGCCTCCGGGGGCCCTCGCCAGGTCCAGGCGCCGTCAGAACAAGAACTCCTCGGGATGAGGAGCGTCGGTGGCGAGCGAGGGGGGGAAGAGAGGAGGAGACATGCCCTCCTACCCCCCCCCCTGAATTGAACAGTGGTGATCGGCACTATGCCAGGGAACAACCCCTGGGTCTTCGCCAATCGGAACAAAAAACTCAAGTTTCGACCTTCGATTGATCCCAAGTAACTCCCAGACAGAGTCGTGACCCGAACGGAGGAACGGCGACGCAGGGATGGACGAGACGCGCGGTGGCTAGGACAGCCCAAACGAAGTCGCCACTCTTTGGCGGTGTGAAGAGCGGTCAGAAAATACCCTGCGAGGAGTTCTCAGGCGATATCGTCGTTCTCCAACGGCATGAAGATGGATATGTTTTTTGTCTGAGGAAGTCCCACGCGAAATCGCCACGTTCAAATGCCGCGGCAAATTTTCAGATCGCCCTGGAAGGCGATCTGAAAGTTTTCGTTGCGGGAATTTCAGGCGAAATCGCATTTTCAGACGCTGACCCCATCTGGCCATTATAATATTACAAGGGTTGAGAGATGCACCCGAAATTCCCGAATCGGCCCCGAGTCCATCATTGTCCCGGGGCCCCGTGGCCTAACGGGAGGCCAACCGTGTCTTTCTCGATCCCCACGGTCTCCACTTCTTAATCCAGCGGGTTGTAGAAGGCTGCGGGGCTTTCCACAGGGGAACGAAGAATGGCATAAACATACTCGGAGGTCCGCGCGGATTTCTCGGATCGGCGCTGGACCCCCCTCCCTGGCGCGCGGAGCGCGCCAGGGGCGGCGCCAGAGGCGCCGCCAAAGGGGTCCAGCGCGGATCCTAGAAATCCGCGCGGACCTCCGAGTGTATATGCTTATGTCAGCGTTCGTCCCCCTAAGTTCCAGAATCCCTCTGGCCTTCTGAAAAGGTCTTCTGTGGCTTCGGGGGATCAGACAAATTCTCAGGAGGCCGGGGGGCCCCCGAGCCCTCTGAGGCGGCCCGCCCCCTCTCACCTTCGCCCAGGGCTGGCCCCCGAGAGCGGGCCCCGGGGAAAGGGTCTGGATGTCCGGTGACCGCGTGCTGATAGCATCAACGGCGTCGGATGTCTGGAGGGTTTTTTTTGTTGTTTTTTTTGGGGGGGGGGCCAGAGGGGTCTCATGAGGCTTCGGAGACTATGGGCCACAGTCCGATGATGAAGAAATCTATGCCACCTCCCCAGTGGCACAGCGGCCTGCGCTCGGATGTCTGGAGGGGTCTGGACCTTCGTCCCTGGGGGGGCGGGGCCGTCTCTTGCCCCCTATGTGGTGCGTGGTGGCGGCCCCGGCGGTCGGGCAGGAGTCCCGGGGGGCCGAGTGTGGCCAGCGGGCTCCCGCCGTGCTTTTTGCTCACGACGCGAGGATGTCAGGGGACGGCGACGACGACGGCGACGACGGCGGCGACGACAACGGCGGCGTGTTCGGAGAAGGATGCCTACAGTTACGGATTCTCTTCGTGCCTCTCCCCCCCCCCCAGGAGCGGAACATAAGCTCTGC